ATTCCAGTCTTACGTGGCCTCCTTTGGAAGGTCCTCTCCTGCTCAGACCCCTTCCTCTGGGTATCAGCTCCTGGCTAAAGTCTAGTCCAGTAGGCCATGCCAGCAGTACATGACCTCGATGCATTACTTCCAGAGTGGCTCATCAACCAGATGGACCAGAATTGAGTCCTCAAGGATTTGCCAAAGTGAGGATGCAGAGACGCTGGTCAGAGGAGGGAGGTCCTGAGAAGGAAGGCTGCATCCTAGGTGCATGTGTTAGTTCAGTGTGCACTAGGGAGTGAAGGGGATGGCCAAGGGAAGCAAGACAACCAAGCAGTTACTCAGAGGGAACAGAGCTGAGGGTCGGTGAGCAAGGCCAGGGTGAGGGCAGCTGCTTCTTCCCTTTCCCCGTGGGAGCTGCTTGCTTCTTTTCAGGGCCCTTGTACTCTTCCGGACACCCCTACATTTAGAGCGCATGTGAGTGGCTTTCTTGTCCTGAGACTCCTTGCAGACAGGACTGAGAGGAATGGAATTTCCAACATTTAGACACCAGACAGCCAGGGTTCCAAGCTAAATGATTATTAGTTTTTTTAAGATTTATTTTTATTGGAAAGGCAGATTTACAGGGAGAAGATAGAAAGATCTTAAATCTGCTGGTTCACTCCCCAAATGACTGCAACAGCCAGAGCTGAGCCAATCCGAAACTAGGAGCCTCTTTCAGGTCTCCACATGAGTGCCTGGTCTCAAGGCTTTGGGCCATCTGCCATTGCATTCCCGGGCCACAAGCAGGCAGCTGGATGAGAGGCAGAGCAGCTGGGACATGAACCTGTGCCTGCATAGGATGCCATGCTTGGAGGTAGAGGACTAGCTAGTTGAGCTTCGCTGGCTCCAACAAGATAAATTATTATTATTATTTTTAAAAGATTTATTTATTTTTATTGCAAGGTCAGATATACAGAGAGGAGGAGAGACAGAGAGGAAGATTTTCAATTTGATGATTCACTCCCCAAGTGACACCAACGGCCGGTGCTGAGCCAATCTGAAGCCTAGGAACTTCCTCCGGGTTTCCCACGCAGATGCAAGAACCCAAGGCTTTGGGCCGTCCTTGACTGCTTTCCCAGGCCACAGGCAGGGAGCTGGGTGGGAAGTGGGGCTGCTGGGATTAGAACTGGTGCCCATATGGGATCCCGGTGTGTTCAAGGTAAGGACTTAAGCCACTAGGCCACCGTGCTGGGCCCTAACAAGATAAATTATGATCTTAATTTTTATCCTTAGGTTTTGGCTGGATTTGGTAAAAAAAAAAAGTGCTCATTTGGAAGAGTCTAGGTGGAGCTTAAATCCTGTCTCAAGCTGGAAACATCCTGTAATTTTTTTTTTCAGTGAGATTGAGTATATCATATAGAAAAGGCTCATTGTATGTAGCTCATTTCTCTACTTTTTGCTTATTAAAAAAGCATTCCTTGGGGCTGGCACCATGGCAAAGTGGGCTAATTCTTGGCCTGTGGCGGTGGCATTCCATATGGGTGTTAGTTCATGTCCTGGCTGTTCCACCTCCAACACAATCCCTGCTTATGACCTGGGAAAGCAGCAGGAGATGGCTCAAGTCCCTGGGCCCCTCCACCCATGTGGGAGACCCAGAGGAAGCTGCTGGTGCCTGCATTCAGATTTACTCAGCTCTGGCTGCTGTGGCTATTTGAGGAGTGAACCAACAGATGGAAGACCTCTCTCTTCTCTGTGTTACTTTGCCTTTCAAATAAAAATTAATCTTAAAAAAAAGGAAGGCTTCTTTTGGGTTAAGTATTACAGTTCTTTATTTACCAACCCCCCATTCTACTTTTCTTTTTGAAGTTTTTGGGCTTTTTTTTTTTAAACGTACTGGTCTAGCAAGATTTTTCAGAGATTATATGCCCAAAATGTGCACTATAACTTCTCCCAGGACTCCCTCCCTGAGAGAGGCGTGTCCTGCTCATGGGTAATGGGGTCATGTCATTACTGCTCAAGGATCAGGTCCCAGACCCCATAATATTCCTGCCTCACCGGATGCCGCCCCTGACACAGAGCAATGTACCTGTTACCTTCCGGTGATCAGCTATCCGGAACCCTGGAACCAAGAGAACAATTCACCCCATCCCCACTCCCTTAACCAGGAGTCAAAGCCAAAATGCATTTTTTCTTTATGACTTCATGAATGCCGGACACTCATCTCAAATCCAGTGTCAAAAAAAAAAGGTTTATTTTGCCACAAATACATTGTCCTGTAGACTTCGTACCTTAAGTCCCTTATGAACTCACTCCATCTTTTTTTTTTCTTGGTCTGTGTTTTAAGCTCCTGGGGACAGTGAAGGATAATGTCAACCACAATTAGCCCCTCAGTGAAAGGGTGAGCAAGGTGGATCATGGCTCAGCTGACACAAGCCTGAGTCACTCCGCTTCTCCAGATGGCCACTACTTCCTCCAAGGTCATTCAAGCCCTCCATGGTTTTTGAAGGATTACCAAGGTCATGGTGACCTCTCTGAGAACCCTAGTTTTCACTCCCAGGAGACACTTTTGACCACCTGCCTTTTCTCAGCGTCACCTGTCCAGTTTTGGTTATTCTCTAGTAGGTCAGCAGATTCTTCAGAGACAGGACCGTACCTGAGTCATGGAAAAGCAATCAGACAACAGTGGTCATGTCCCCTCCGGAGGGACACGAATACGCTGGCTTCTTCTTAACATGACATTTCCCTCTTGTACATGCACACTTTTCTTGAATTGGTGCTGCCTAGTTTGAGTGTCTGATTTAGCGTGCTCTAGTTTTAGCTGTTTCGGTAGACTCGCTGTTCCATGGGGGGTCTGACAAGACCACAGCCACCTGGGCCCCATCCTGTTAGCCACAACTTTACAAACACTCAGACACTGTCTTTTGAAACATGCACAGAGATTTCAATGACATTAGGGTCTTCAGACTTCATGGTCACATGTAGCATGTCTAGGCATTTACCAAGTAGACAAAGTACTGGCTTGATATCATTGCATTGATGAAATACTGGTGTTATTGATAAAGCAGGACAATGTAGCTGACTTTATCAGACTCATAACCTTTTGCATGAAAAAGCTGAGTTTCTTTGGCTCTTTGTTCATTCAGGAGCATTGAATGCCCACGGGACAGACTGGGGCATTGTGTTCAGCTGTCAGTAAAAGCTTGCACTCTCCACAGTGTTTTGCAAGCTGATTTAGGTTTTGGACTATAACAACTGGCCATTGGTAGAAATATACCATATATACACGCAGAAATTACAAAAATACATTTTATTTATAGCCAATTTTTTTTTTAAGTAACAAAAAACTAACACTATGAAAGATCAACCAGCATACTAAAAGGATACTACCTAACATCACCCAGACAAGAGACTTCTTAGGGGATTTTGTAACCACCATCTCGGAACGTTCCAGAAAAGGCAACTGGCCACTGGGAAATAAAACAGCTTCTTTGAAAAGTCTGTGCTTTAACAGTTTGACTCTCCCATTCTAATCAGTTCCATACCTACTCTTCTGTCAACTCGTCAATTTCCACCTTCTTCTTTCAGAAAAGACCAAAGAAACTCATGAGGACAATGGGCAGGATGGACTCAGGAGGGAATGGATACAGCTGAAGCTGGATGGCTCATGGGGGATGGCGAGACAGGATCTCATTCTCCCACAGACACCGTGGAGGCCCCCCTTTCCATGGCTCCCAAGACGGGCGAGGTGACCAAGGCGTTCCCTTCCCTCTCCCCAGTCAGCGGTTGCTCTGCTGCACTGATGGCTAGTTATTGGAGCACACCTTGGTTGTACAAAGCCAAGGCCTTACCCAGAGCTCTGGAGACTGAGTCTCCATGCCAGAGAGAGCGACCTGCAAAGTCACAGTCACATCCATGAAGGTCCTCTTGTGTCCATTAGCACTGGGGAACTGCCCAATTCCTATGCTTTTACAAAGCTTATTTACATTTAGACATCAACCGGTTTTCTACATTCAAAAGCTTCACTCTGCAGAGGTTGCAGCCTGGGAAGACTGTGGATCGATCACCCTTGTTTGGAACAAGAAGTCAACGACCACTGCCTGTGGCGATTCTGGGCAGCACACGCCGGACGATGTTGCTGACGAGGCAAAGTCTTTCGTGTGGAAGCGATTGTATCTGTTCTCCCCACCAAGAGAGAAGCTCCCTTTCTCAGGCTGCTTTCTACGCAGGCTGGCGAGCCACTCCCATGGAGAACTGTTTTTCTTTTGGAGGACTCTGAAGGTGCTTAGCACCAATCTCTTCAGCTGGACACCAACTTGCAGGTCGCCGTTTCTGCAAGGACCGCATCGCTTTAAAAAGTGACAACACAAATCCACCCATTCGGCTCCCCTTCTCTCTGTTTGGGCCTTTGTTCAGTTCACCAGGTGGGGTTGGGGAGGGGAGAGATATAAAAAAAGAGAGAATCCGGACTATTGACAGGTGCAATCATTGGTCCTGATTCTGCGTTCAGTGCACTTGACTCTGAAATAAGAACCTTTAGCGGCAAAGGGACTCTGGGTGGCAGAGTGCCTTGCTCGGCTGAGTGAGTCAGGGTCTCCATGAACAGATGCAATGGTTTGAGAGCAGATGGTCCTGGTGGCAGTGAGAGGGGGCACAGTCTGGTGCTTAATGCACATCCTGCACCCCAGACACAGAAATACGGCTAACATGCAGGGCTTGCTGTGGAGGGGTGATATTCTCCCCCTCCTGGGAACTTGGTAGAATGGGGCCTTGAGTAAGAATCTGCACAGCTGCTAGTACCTCTGTAGGCCAGGGTCCAGAGGCCCCAGCCATAGGCGCTGCACCTTCTTCCATCAGCAGCACGAGCTGGGAATGAGGCCAGCCACGCCAAGGCTTCCTCTGCTTCCCCCACATCTAGCAGCTCACCTTCTCAGAAACAAGGCAAAGGGGGCTCCATGGATCAAGCTCAGTGTTCTTGGCTAAGAACCACAGAATCTGTTTCTGGAGGTCCAGTCTGTCCCCTACACCAGTCGGAGGCATGACTAAACCTGGAACTCAAACATGTCTGTCTGTTTCTTGGCCAACTTGGCCACCTCCTCCCGGATGGCTTTCACCAGGGCGGCGGTGGAGATGTTGGTCAGGGGAGTGTCGGAGGGGTCGTTTTCTGCCAGGCTCTGCTGCGAGGCTGCCGTGGAGGGACCCGGGGCCTGCTCCAGGCTGGGGTGCATGCCTGTTGGCTGGCTGTACTGGCGAGACAGTCTAGAGGGTGAACCCTGCTGGTACCGCGACCGGGGGTAAGCCTCGATGTACCCGGGCAGGGGCACCTGCAGGAGCACCAAGGGAGAGAAGAGAAAGGGACTGGGGTTAGGACACAGGAAGCAGGACACTGGGGTACAATAGTGGACTGAGGTCAAACCAAACTAACTGGAAGGATGCAGAGGTTATGGACTACTTCCGCACACACATAAAACAGGAGTCATTTGATTAGAACATAGGCAATGGGGACTCGCTGTGTATGCTGAATGGATGAATTAAATAGATGTTTGTACCCTTGTTGATGATGTCAGCATGCGTGTGAGTCAGTCTGTGGAACTGCTGGGCAACCTCCTATTCATAAAGGCGTAATCTGGCAGATACAACCGGGGTACTCCAATGCGGGACCTTGGCCGCACACCTGTTAGGATAGGAGTCTGCTCCCAGGGGAGTGTTGTAGTAAAGAACATCAAAGAGGTGGACTCCCAGGAAATGGAGAGGAGACCTTCCACTCCGAGGGGCTGCCTTGGGGATCCAGATGAGGACCCAAGAGAGGGAAGAAGCCAAGGAACATATGTGCCATGTTAATAAGTTTCAGGCTCTAAATTCCCCCATGAGACCCTACAAGGCAGACATGGTGACAGTCAAGGCTGACAGTGGCTCTCTCAAAAGGTGGGATGACACTGATGAAGGGTGGTAACCAACAATCAAGGCCGGGACATGGTCCACACCTTCCAGATGTGGGTGCTATCTCCCTTCTTTCCAAGTCGCCTTTGCCAGTCTGACATTGGTCTAGAGTGGCGGCAAGGTGTTTCTATGCCATTCCACTGGTGTAATGGTGGGCACTACTGATGCTGCTGTCAGCTTTGGGAAAGTGGCCACTCCGGCTCCCGTGTCTGCTGCACACCACCATAGTAAGGAAGCTCCCAGTTGGACAGCCACTGAGGCACTGTCAGGTAGGGCCAGATATTTGCCCCAGGAAGCTGTCACATCCTCTTGCCCTGTGCCTCAATGCCAGCTAAGTGATCCCAGGATGCAGCTTGAAAAACAAGCTGCATCCTGGGATCAGCCAGGGCAGATAAACAAATGACAGGGGAGGTTTCTGCTTCTCCCATCACTGGGGAGTGGATGCCCTGAAGGAGTACCTTTACCCCAGCTGACAACTGGTCCCTCTGAGCTTGCTGCACAGTCTCATGTGCTAATATATCGCTTATCCTGCCCTGCTAGCTCCATGCATGGGCACCCACACCTTCCCTGCTTAACTTCAGGTGATAATTGGGCTCCTGGAAAGATCCACTGAGGCTGCAGCAATCATCTTCCCTCTTAATTAAGAACAACTATCAGCTAACTGGGTCTTCCCACTGAGAAGGCTGCGCTAAGTTCTGGGGAAGGCTAGGTTTCTGCTGGCCGAACCCAAAGGCATCTGGATGTAACACCATGGTTGGCTAAACTGTCTTTTGTTAGAGTCTCAAGGGTGACCCTGGCTGACCATCCAGTGTGCTTTGCACCCAGCAGGCAGGCTGTCAGAGCTGCAGGCTGGCTGCTTGTGGAGTGCCAGTCACACAGCATTTGTTTTCTGCAAAATCTGCATATTGCGTTTAGACTTCAGTGCAGTTACAGAATCAGGGAAGTGCTGCACTGACCCAATCGCCCCCAGGAACAGCAGCTGTTTAGAAAAGCACAAGATGTCAAAGGAACAAACCAAAAGGCCCCAATAGCCAAGAGAGTTCAGCAAGGCCCCACGGGGAGGCCCAGGCTGGAGAGCAGGGACTTCCTCTGGCTCCCCTCCGAGTTTATTGACTCCAGATTGGCAGGCTATTCTAACACGCTCTGCCTCACACGCAGACAACGGCACATTTGGAACAGCACATTTAAGGGCAAGGGCGTGTGACTCACTGAAAGCAAGGACACTGGCAGCAATGGCAGGTGCCAGCTGGGAGCAAGGGCAGACACAGGAAAGTACATGCCGAGCCACACTGATTACTCTAGAAATCACAGCGGCTAAGTGGTCCATTTCCACAGGGGCAAGATCCCACAAATGCCGAATTAATACAATGAGAATTATAACAAGACCGCGTCATTCTTAAAAGACAAACTAAATCATACTGTATCTGGTTATGGTGGGGGGGGATATGGAGAAATGGCATTGTGAAACAGCATGTTAAGCTGCTGCCTACCACCCTGGCATCCCCTATCAGAGCTGCTTGGAGGCCCGGCTGCTCTGCTTCTGATCCAGCTCCCTGCTAATGCTCCTGGAAAAGGAGTGCTTGGGCTCCTGCCACCTGTGTGGGAGACCCAGATGGAGTTCTTGGTTCCTGGCTTCAGTCTTGCCTTGCTACAGCTGTTGTGGCTACTTGGGAAGTGAACCATGGATGGAAGACCTCTCTTTGTTTCTCTGTCTCTCAAACAAGACAAATCTTAAAAAAAAAAGGGGGGGGAGGAGGAAGGCTATCCTTAATTTCAGACGTATTTTCATTCAAAAGAACATATGTTGTTAGCTGTTCTGGAGTGAGAGCAGGCTTTGGTTATAAGCAAAATTTCCCTGGGTATGTAGATGTACTCATAATAATGTTGCCCCTGGTGCTGTGACTGATGTGTGGCGTCACCACGGTGAGGACGACCCCACTGCTGATGCTGCATGGCTACCAAGTATGGAGGTTAGCACAGAGGAGAGAGGACACACACTCTGGTGCACTCATGTTTTTTGCCTCTGGGGTTTATTCCCAATGCTGAGCACAACTGCTAAAATGGTCAACAGCGCCCAAGAGTCTTGGGTCCCACCTGCAGGGACAATCTGTCTTTCCTGGTGCTGTGGAGGTAGGGGAGGTGTCTCCTGGAAACTGGGCCTTCTGGTCTGTATGTATGCATGTGTGTGTTTGCACAGACGAGCCCTTGACTGGTGACATGGAAGGTGAACTCCAGGTTGGTATCAGCTGGGTCATGTCCACTGTGCCAGGTATTCTTGTAAGAAGCAGAAACCTTGGGACCAGGTCCAGCCAATCCTTAGCCACAACCAGTCATAAAGGTTTAGGATGTATCTAAGTGCAAGACCCATGAGTTTTGAATGCTTCTTTATGAAGGCACTTCATCTACAATTCTCTGGTCTCTGACAGCTAGAAGAGATGAGTTTCCTGACTGTTTTGGTGCTAGCAGGTGCAGGTTTGAACTTTTGACCTCGACACTGTACTAGCTGTGTGGTCTTAGAGCAGACCTCGGTTTCTTCACCTGCTAAGATGGGAGTCAGGGTGGAAACAGTCTGCAAACTAGCCATTGGACAGCATGGGGTGATTAAGTAAGGAAATACAAGTAGCACGTGTCAGGCGGCTTTTGGCACAGAGTAGGAAACACTCAACAAGTGGGAGCTATTTTTAGCAAAATGTACTTGGTTAAAGTTGCTTTGTTGGGAAGGGGTGGAACCAGCAGGCCTCAAGACAAGGCCATCCTGCCTTGCCACACCACTTTCTTCAACGGGACATGTCTAGCATCTGGTTAGTGTGAAGGGGGCTGAAACCCATGAGACACGCAGTTTCAGATTTTCATCTTATTTTCTCCCAGAAGTTCAGCCAGCAGCTGCAAGATTACTAGGTAATTAGCCAAGGTCTCACCGAATCAGCCCACTGACTGGGCAGCTCGTTCTCTCCCGCGTAGGACATCCAGGCCTGGTTCCTGTAGGATGAGGGAGGCGTTGGGATGAAGTAGCCGGTGAACCCAGGTCTGTTGGCAGCTGGGATGGCGAACACCGCTGGCACCGTGTTACCTAGCATGAGGGACACCCACAGAGGAGATGAGTGGAGACTGATTTCTCGGACCCAGCCGTTTGAGAACCAAACAAAGCCAGGTTCATGGGTTCCCTGGCTGTCTGCTGGGCTTGAAGTCCTGTAAAACCAGGTCTGACGTATGGGAGCTGGCTCTAGACTGGGACATGAAGCTCTGGGGCTGAAACTAAATAGAATAGAGGCACTCTGGATGTGACAACTGGGACCCCAAGCAACAGAACCACAAGGAGGGCAGACTGTGGTGGGGCCTGGCTTTCTGTCTGTGGAATTCTTTCAGGGCCATTGAAGATGGCTGAGCAGGTGGTGCACCACTGCTCCAGGGCACGGACCTACAGGCGAAGTGGGGCTATGAGGCAGCCTTGTGTTCTCTTTGCCAGGGCCTGTACCCCCTGGCAGTACAAGAAATCCTCCTTCTCACTTCACCAACTGCAGCATGGGCTAAGAGTGTCTGGACTCTTTCACTGCCCATCCTCCAAGGTGGCAATCTTCCTCCCAACCCTCGCATCCTGCCAACAACAGCACCTACCCAGGTGGGAGGAAGCTGGGGAAGCCCTGGGGGACTCTGGCAGTGACCTTGGTTAGGGAACAGGAGGGCAGACGTCCTAGGGGCGGACAGAAGGAGCAGCAGACTTCCTCTTGCACCCCAACCTTGTCAGTGTAGAGGTCGTCATCGGCTGTGACTTCCACCTGGCTTCCCGGAGGCGTGAGCCTCAACCCCGCTATGGAGACCACGTGGATTCTCCTACAGCAGCCAACCCATGCTGAGCTCCTGGCAGGAGCAAATGACCCCTGGCCATCCAGAGATCTTCCTCCGGGAGGACATGCAGTTTTAAAGAGCCACGAAGAGAAATTGAATTCATTCATTTGGTGACATTTCTGTGTACCAGAAAACCTCCAGTAGGTGCTGGCAGCTGGCAGCTTGTACAGGCTAGCCCTGTATATCTGCAGCAACCTGGGGAGACCTTGAAGATGACATCACTTCCAAAGAAATAAAGTACAAAAGCAGCTGTACAGTAGGCTATCCCTTATGCAAATAAAAATGCATAAAACTCAGGGTGCTGAACAAACGTTCATGGAAACTAGAATGAAAAGTTTGTTTTGGTACAAACATGTCGTAAGTCTGTGCACAGTTTTTTCATCACGCATGCTTTCCATGAGTTGCCTGAAGTGCTTATATTCATGCACAGCAAAAGAACTAAGCACAGGGGTCACCTTTAGGGAGATGGGGAATGAGATGTGGTAGATAGCAATGCTTAAGGATTAAAAAAATCAAGTTTCCTGAACACTGACAAAGCGTTAATATTCACCCAGGCTGCTGCATGCTTTGATGTTTCGTCTGATCGCTGTGCTGGTCAGGGCTACTGAGGGAACCCAGGCATGCACTGGCTTTTAGGTCTGTGGGTAGTAGGGAGCAAGCAGGGCGGCTGTGTGAAGCTGTGAAGGACAGGAGCCCAGCAGCAGGTGCCTGAGGCCATGTGGTTTGTTCTGCCCACCTGAGTAATTTAGAGGTGACTGATCCAACTGTGCCACTGCAACAGGACCTCGAGACACCTGGGTGAAGGAGGCGCTGTCGTGCAGCTGGGCCTGCTCTGGGCCCGCAGACTCTGTCATTCTGCTTTTGCTGCCGATGTCTGAGGTGGACCTGCTGGGACAGAACGGCCATGTTAGTGCTGTCCCCAGATCTTGGGCTATGGTCCAGACAAGAGGAGTGGCCTCCCACCTGTAGGAACCAGCAGCTGGTTGTAAGTCCCATAAGGGTAGTGTGGGGTTGTGTCAGGACTGATTTGTCCCTACAAAACACACAAGGGCACCACCAACACGATGGAATCAAGAGGTGGGTGCCCTGACACATCCAGGCCTGGCCATAAGTAGCAGAGGGTCTTCTGGGCTTGTGGCAGACAGAGCTTGACTCATTTATTTGGTGTCCAAGGTCAAGGTAAGAACAGCTGACCTTGGGCTTCTTTGACTGGATTCTCAAGGACTTTGTATCTGGAAACATAGGCAATCTGATCACCTCGTGGTGGTGTTGCTTCCTTTGTAGCATTGGGGGTGCCTCAGGCTGGGGCAGGAAGGTACCTCTCAGGTACTGCTCTCCACAACCCCCATCTGCACAGGACCAGATCATTTCCAAATAACCCAGGGAAGCCAAGAAAGGAACACATTACCGTCGGAGAGAAGCCACCGCCACGGGGCCGGTTCGGGGTGGTACTGGTGGAGGTGGGGAGCCCATGACCATCTCCGGAAGCTGGGAGAATCTGTAAGCCTGGGAAGAGACAAGCCAGCAGAGGGCATGTGTTACAATGGTGTTGGGTGGCAGCCAGGTCAGCTGCCAAGGGCCGGCTTCCCTCGCTTCCCCAGACTGTTCCCTGGAGTCCTCCGGCTTCTCTCCTACCTGGTTCCCCTCTGTTGGGGTGGCTGCACTCACTCAGCTCTTCATTTGCTCCTGGCTCCTGACAAGTTCTTTTCCTTTACGTGTATCTGTGAATTTTTTTCCCCAGGTCTTCCATGTTCCCTCTTTTGTCTCACCCGCCCAGCCCTATTCTCTTCTAGAGCTCGAGGTAGAGATTCTTGTGGTCATTCTTACTCTCAGATATTAGATTGTGCTTGTTGTTTACCAAAGTGACTGTCATCTCAGGCTGGGTGAGAAAGGCTCTGCTTTCAGTCATAGCCACCTGTCTGCAACAGTGCGTGGTGTCTGAGGGGACAGAAAAACATACTAATTGAATGAATGAATGAATGAATGAAGGCATCACTGATTGTGTTTCACTTTCTTTCTTATGGAAGGCTGGTGACACGTGGGGAAAGGTGTGGAAGATCTGATGAACACACTTGAGGTCCCTAAGTAAGTTAGGCGACCCCTCTGGCCTTCAGGATCTTTATCTTCTTGTGAAATGATGACAAGGATGCTTTGCTCAGAGGATCAGGGGAGTCTCTGCATGTGTAAGTATTGTGCAATCTCTAAAGCACAATTCAAAAGGATTAGAATTGTCACAGAAGTAAAGGCTTTTATCAACATGTGAGGGGACAGAGGAAAAATGGACAAGGATGAACAGGATCTAAAAGAGCCAGCCCATAATCTCCTTTAGCGAAGAAAAAAAAAATTCTGAAGTGCTCCTTCGGGAGACAAAGCTTAGCTGATCTCTCATCTCTTTCTTTAGACATTATGTTGCCAGATCTGCTAAAGAACAAGAGGATATGACTTGAAACCTGAAGGCATTTGGGCAAAAAGTAGCAGCCCCGGGAATCTTTCAGCAGGAATCTTGAACTGAACGAGGCCTCCCTCTCAGAACACAGAGAGCATGCTGTAGTAGGGGCCAGCCCACTCCATGACACGGTGCAGGCCCTGGACACAACACCCACACTGTGAACACCGCAAACTCTGGGCCTCTCTCCTCCCTTACCCCTCGCAACAAGCTAAAACAAAAGCATGAGATGAAACCAGAAGAGGAAATAGAGACCAGCACATATGAAAGGGAGTGGGGCCTGGAGGACAGATGCCATGGTGAAGATGTGATAAGAGACCAAGCCTTGGAGCACCACCATCAAGCTGGTTGACCCTGAGAATGTGGTCTAGCATTGGTCCCTTCTGGGCAGGGAGGTCACAGGTTCAAGGGAAAGCTGTTGTTACTGCTCTGAAGGAACAGCATCCCTCAAGTGGGCTTCAGGACTAATACACATTGAAATGTAGCCAAGAGGGGCTCAGGATCTTTAACTACAAAATACATCAGGAAAGAGAAGTTGAAAGTCAGCCCAAAATGCAAATGGCAGATGTAGAGCTTTAAGGAAATTGGAATTAGAAATTTCCAGTTACAAAACAAAGAATAATAACATAAGAATTTGTTAAAATGATTGCCCAAACAGACAATTATGATCAGAAATGTCCAGGAAGATTTGAAAGAGAACAAATAGATGTTTTAGAAGGAAAACATAATTATTGAAACAAAATAGTCAGTGTAGGGAAATTAACTAATAGCTTAATCAAGGACAAAGAGATAATGAATAAACCAGAAAATGGAATTTGAGAAATAACTGAGAAAGAAACACAAAGATACAAGGAGACAGAGGCTTTGCAAGAGGAGTAAATTATAGAGCGGGTGTAGGAGCAGTTCTAATACGCAGCTCATCTAAGTTCCAAAAGAGAGAAGTGGGACAATGGGGAGAGATGATGTTTGAATACTGTATGAAGAATAATTTCCCAGAGTGGATAAAATAAGTAAATTGACAATTTCAGGAAGTATAATCTATCCCAAGGAAGATAAATGAAATATAGCACACATGTAAACACACCGCCGTGAAGTGGCAGAATATCAAAGAGAAAGACTATTTTAAGAGCAGCTGGAGAGAAATGATCAGGAAGGATGTGGCAGACTTGAAAAGCAAACACAAATGCACAGTGCATTAGGCTGGCTGCCATCCCATATCAGAACACTCCACTTCTGGTCCCAGGTGCACTAATGTGCCTGGCAAGGTAGCTGAAGATGGCCATGTGCTTGGACCCATGGTACCCTTACAGGAGACCCAAATGGAGATCCTGGCTTCTGCCTGGCCTAACCTGGGCCATTATGAACATCTGGGGAGTGAACCCTAGCAGATGAAACTCCCCTAACCCATTCCCAGGCCACATGCAGGGAGCTGCATGGGGAAATGGAGGAGCTGGGATGTGAACCAGTGCCCAATTGTGCGCAAGGCAAGGATTTAGCCACTGAGCCATTATGCCAGGCCCCAGCAATCCACTTCTATGGCCACATCACTCAACTTTTCTGAATCTGCTTTTACTTCCTTGTTCAGGAATTAAGGCATTGCCCAGATCATGAGTGTCCATACATTTTTTTTTTTTTAGCCCTGAAGTCATCCCGGCAGGCTGGAGAGCAGAGCTGCTCCGGCTAGAGTTGGAGAGGGATGGTCCTCGTGCAACTGCAGCTCATCGCTCACCTGCCAATGACTGCCTTGAATCCTGCGGCTTTGCAGACTAAAAGGTGCTGCAATTCTTTCAGCATCACCTGCCACGATCACTCATAAATCCACAACAAAAGTGCTCCTTCCCCAAGAGTGGGAATAGGTAGCTGCCTTGTCTCTCTTCCACCTGTGTACGCTATTCAACAGAAGAGCCAGACCTTCTATTTTTATCTCTGCTTCTTGAAAGGCTTATTCTGTAGCCCATACTGTTTACCAGCCAGGGGAAAGCTTTCTCCACCTTGTAGTCTCTGCTATAGCGGTTCACCTGGGAAATAGGTTCAGCTTCTGAACTTCCAACCTTCCACCTGGCAGCAAGGGCATGCTATTCATGGGGAGGGTTTTTTTTTTTTTTCCTTCACGTAATTTCAGAAACTTCTTTTGCCAGAATCCTTAGGCTCTCAGGGCAGTCCATGTAGAAGAGGTGGGGGGGCGCAGTCAGATGCAGTACAAAATTCCCTGTTCCTATGGACAGGCGTGGAGGGGCCTGGTGGTGAGGAGGGCTGAAGGCAGGGCCTACAGTGGGCCGACTGGTGGTGGTAATGTGGTGGGGAACCTGCTGCAGAGGGGGAGGTGTTGGGGAGAGGAGGAGGGATTAGTTGTTTTGCTTGTCTTTAGGCAGAAAGAAGAGAAAAAAACAAAGCTATAACATCCCCAGCATTAATGTGTCTTTTACGAAGAGTAATAGGTAGAAATGTGTCTTTCACAAATTTCATGAAAAACAACATTAACAGCTGTTTGTTTCAATGCAAAAGGTTTCGAAGTCCACACATCCAGGCATGGCTTTATTTGAGAGGCAGAGCTGGTGATGGTGGTGTGTGTGGGGTAGGGGGGGAGGGGTGGGGTGGGGTGGGGTGGGGAGGGGTGGGGTGGGGTGGGGAGGGGAGAGAGAGCGAGAGGGAGGGAGAGAGAGAGAGAATCTTTTGTTTCCTGGGGTTCGCTCCTCCCAAAATGAGAGCCAGGGCTGAGCCAGGCCAAAGGGTAGCAGTTACTCAAGCCTTCATGGGAGCCTCCCAGGATCTGCACTAACACGATGCTAGAGCCGGGAACCAAGCCAGGTGCCTTGATGTGGAATGCTGTTCACCGTAATTGGCACCCTAACCACTGGGCTAAACAGCCCCCTTACAAGGTTTTTATCATAATGCATATTTCCATGAGCTTCCAGACGATCCCTCATATGCACCGACTTCAAATTTTTTTGTATCCAAACAGATGTGTCTTTTAATTCCACTTTTCACAAAGCCTTTGAATTTCCTTTGTACACAATGTTTTCTCACATTGTGGCTAGCACTATGACGTTGTAGGGTAAGCTGCTGCCTATAGTGCTGACAGAAGTCTCAGCTGCTCTGATCTAGCTCCCTGCTACCGTGCCTAGGAAAGCAATGGAGGATGGCTCAAGTCCTTAAGCCTCTGCACCCATGTGGAAGACCCTGAAGAAGTGCTGGGCTACTGACTTTGGCCTGGCACAGCCCTGACCTCTCTCTGCAACTCTATTTTCCAAAAAATAACTAACCTATTATTTTTCCCCCAAATTCCCTCATACTGAATGGAAATTTATGAGATCACACTCTTAAGGCTTGGGTATTTAAGTATTCATCAGAACCTGGAGAGCAACTAGACAACTTCCTTTAGCTGTGGATGCTGAGTATGGGCTTCAAGTGGTAGACAACTCCAGTTCTGCCACTTACATCTGGATAGTAGCTCTTTGCATCCAGGAGTTTGACATCCATCAAGTCAACCACCCAAGATGAAAAATGTCCTGAAAAAGTACATCCATACTGAACACATATAGAGTTGTTACAATAGAGTGTAACAACTATTTACACAGCACCCACATTATCTCATGTATCAGAAGCACCTGGAGATGGGTTCAAGACCACAGGAAGAGGAGTGCAGGTTTTTCTACAATCCCTGCACCATGTGAGATGAGTAGTTTCCCATTCTGGGATCCACAGGGAGCCCTGTTCCCAAACCCCAGTGCATACAATTACATGAAGCTTCTCCAAGCCTCCTTTCTTGCTGAGTCCTTGGAGAGCCCTCCTCTGGCGGCAAAGCCAACGTTCCTGGAGCACTTAGCTTGACGCCTGACAAAGATGGGGAGCTCCACAGGTGGCAACGGTGGCTGCTGTTCCTGTTGCTGCTGTTGGCATTCATTCCCTCTGTTCAGCGCCTTGCGGGCAGGCATTGTAGCCCTTGCTGTGTCTCTCAGAATCCCCTACTCTGTTGCCATCAGGAAGTCTGTAGCATGTTTTTATGCTACTTGGCACAACCCCATTATGGCCGTTAGTGAAACGGGATTGGCTCTTGGGC